CTCTCTAATAGAAAAGTTCAGGTTCTCAGTATACAGTGTGGATACCAGGAGAGGTCACTTCCACCCCTTCTCCTTGTACAGACATAATAAAGGTTTTTGATCAGTGTAACAGCATTGAACAACAAGCACAATCACAATTGTGACATCCAAAAAGATTTTAGGAACTAAATAATGCCTGCATTATAAACAGTTTTTAATATGCAAAAAGCAGTTTTGCAATAGTAATCCTGTTGCGAAAGCAGTGAGAAAACTGATGCTGTTTGGAATTGGAGGCTTAAGCAGGCCTTTCCCTTCAAAGCAGTGGGCACAGGCTGGGAGTGTGGAGGCTCATGCTGATTGATACTCACTGTGACATCACTGGCTGATTTTAAGGATTCCTGGGGCTCCTAATGTTTGTTACTCGGACTAAATTTCTGAGGGTACTGATCTTCATTTCCTTGATTTTCTATCGTACTATTATCTGTGTCATATATTATTTTGTGTATGAGATGTCAATATTCTTTTCTGTAATATATAATTATTATTTAATCTTTAAATTTCAAGCAAATTGTCTATTTATTTTCTTGTCCTAGAAAGATTCTGATTTGTTTTAAAAAATAAAATCATTAATAGAATTTTGCCCCTTTAACAATAGTTAAAACTAAGAAGACTGACTAAAATAGGAAAGAAATTTCTGTTTTCCTGTCCCTCTTGTTTTCCTTCCCCAGTATTCTTCTCACTGTTGACAAGTTCCTGTGAACTTAATATATCCTTATTTTGAAATCTGCCCCTTTTAAGTAACACTAGAACTTTACTAGATTTGTCCTGTCTTTTATAATTTAAAAGGCATTTGGATTCTTGGCATGCATCCTCCCTGGCACTGCCGTGAGCTGTACTTACACAGTCATTGTACAGGGGTAGCACTAGTTAATGAGATAACTACCTCCTTCACAGAAATATCTACTAATTCTGATAGACTTCATAATTTTTTATATCATAACTTAGCTTAAACTCTTAGCTTAAATCTCAAACGTATTTAATAGTCTTGAGTGGTTTCAGACTTTATTCAGTTGTATTTATTGTCCATATATAGAGGATATCCAGCTTAATTTTCTCTATATTGACAAGAACCCTGTAATTGCAAAGGTTAAAAAGTGATTCATTGAAACACCGAAAGCTTAAATATTAGCAATTTGACTTTTTTGCTTATGTGCAAAAGCCACCATGCAGCTAAACTGACATCTGGGCCGGCCCAGAAAGCTTTGTAGCATAAGGGAATGCAGTTGGCATTCTTTCCCTCTCTAGGGCACAGAACTACTCCTGAGCAAACCTTTGGAACTGACGTCATTTCGGTTATTTTCTCACTTCCCTTTCCACAGAGTTTCAGATTATGAGTTAGACCTGAATCTGGGTCCTGGTTCTGTCACTTCGTGTGAGTTTAAGGTCAGCTTTTCAATTTCTGCAAAAAGAGTCAGCTCTGGTTTTGATAGGGCTTGCTTCGATTCTGTAGACCTGTTTGTAGAGTGTTGCCATCTTAACCTTTTTTATTTTTAATTTTGTTTTATTTTTTATACAGTAGGCTCTCATTAGTTATCTATTTTATACATAGTAGTGTATATATAGTGTATTTTATACATTAGTGTATACATGTCAATCCCAGTCTCCCAGTTCATCCCACCACCCACCCCCCCCAACAATGCCACTTTTCATCCAAGGGAAAACATTCATACCTTATTCTATTTTCCACTTTAAACTAGTCCATGAACACTGAATGCCTTTCCATTTGTTTTTGTTTTTAAACATACATTTTATTTATTTATTTATTTGGGGTTTTTTATTTATATATTTTTGGCTGTGTTGGGTCTTCATTGCTGCGCGCGGGCTTTCTCTAGTTGCGGCGAGCGGGGGCTGCTCTTGGTTTCGGTACGCGGGCTTCAGTAGTTGTGGCTTGTGTGTACAGGTCTCACACTACTTTTGTTAAGTTTATTCATAAGTATTTTATTCATTCTGATACTGTTCCAAGAGATATTAGTCTGCCGTATTCTTTTCTTAAGAAGTCTTTGATAGCAGGATAATACTAGCCTCATAGAATGAGTTGAGAAGTGGTCCTTCCTTTTTCTTTCTCTCTTCTTTTTTAGTTTGTGCAAGGGTGTTAATTCTGTTATGTGAGTTTTGATACCACCTTTGTAAACTGTGAAATTCCCTTTTCATCCACTATATCTCTATGCACCAAAATTACCCTTTTAGCTTTACCCCTACATTCATGTTCTGTGAAAGCAGTTGCTTTTTTCAGCCAATTTTTTATCTTATTTATACTGTTTCGGGATTGAGTGATGGCATTTTAACTTTCCTAAGGGTAGTTACCTGTTTTTAAAAGGATGGACTTTCACACCTGTAGGTATTTGAGAATTTACCTGTAATCCAGGAATTGCTTGTAATCTGTACATCCCTATACATTGATTTTGTATGGAGTAGAAAACTCACAAGCCTAATAATATTTTGTGATTTTTGCTTTGGGTAGGGGGAGCTATCTGACTTCAGCATATCTAGAATAATAATTGTTTTTGAAAAACAATTTATCATTATGTTTTTGATTTACAAACTACATACCTCAAACTTGCCCTTCTCCAAATAGAATTGTTATTTGAGGCAACAAGCTTATTTAACACTTGGTGTTGCTGAAAACAAGCATAAATACTTTTGTAGATACCTCTAAAGAGATGTGGGAGCAATTTGTCATTTATACCTTAGGAGAAAAGCGATATGATTAAATATACTTGTATTACCCTCCAGTTGAGGTATGTCACTGTAAAGGAATGGGAATTGTGGCCAGTGGAACAGTAGAGCCCTTTTGTCAGAGGATGAGGCTAGGATATGGCATTAACTGTTCCAAGCAGGAAAGTTGTATGGGGTGAGGGTGGATTGGGGGAAGTTAGACTTCTTGATATTTGTAAGACGCCTAAGGAAGAGAGTACCAGGACATAGAAGAGTTACAAGTTGGGTACGGAATGGGGAGCAAGAGTGTAAAAAACAAAACTTTGACCATTTCAAAGTTGTCTTACACCAATCCTGTATCGTCACATCACAACTTGCATCAAGAAGTACATATGTAGGGCCTGGGCCCCTAAAATGTAGAAGAATATTAGAATGGACCTTATTCTGTTGATTATAAGTACTAATTATAGGAAGAACTCAAGTATACCTCTTAGAAAGAACTTAATTTGGGAGACAGTAGTTTAATCATTTAAAAGTTGTGTTTTTCTTTTCATAAAGATAACGAGTTTGTATTTTACAATTAAAACAATATAGAAAGTCGTAAACAATGCTGAAGTCTAAACATAGTGAAAAAGTTTGTGCATGTCTTTCTAAACCTCTGCATACATATATACATATGGAAATATGTATAGTTATTATACATCGGTATATATAAAGAGAATTTTATATGAATGGGAACTTATACATGCTATATGAAACCTGCTTTTTTTCACCACATGTATGTTTTGGTGATGATCCCAAGTGATTTACATGGATGTACATCATTCTTTGTAATGGCTGCATAGTATTTCATTGTATAGATGACCCATTAAATAATTAGGTTGTTTTGTATTGTGTTCTTACTGTTTTGATGGGTATATTTCTATGTATTCCTGCCTTTACAGATTTGAGTGGGCACCATTTAATACATTTCCATCTGAGATCTCACTGGACATCAGCATTAGTGCTGTCATTGGCACTTGTTGCTGCCTGTGGGCTAGCTTCTTGTTATCTTCAAACTTTTTATTTGCTGATCTGAGGAACTGAAAGTCAAGGCCTAAAACTTTCTGTACAGAGTAAGCTTTGAGTAATAGGTCAAAGCAGCATTATGTCATGGGTAAAAGTATTATGGGGCTTAACATAATACTTCAGCAGTGTGTCTTTTCCCTTTTTCTACTTGGTGAGGAGGACTTACACGCCCAGTAAGCAAGTGTGTCACTGTGCTGTCTCATACACATAAACTTTCTAACCATAACAACCCTCCTTATGGTACTGTTATCTCTAAGTACAGTTTAAGGAACTGAGGTCAAGAGAGGCTAAACTGATTTGCCTATGCTTGCAACATTCAGAAATCTGTTGAGTGGCTTATCAGTTGTGCATAGCTAATTTCACATAGCAAGTGAACACCAGTGGGAGAAGTTATCATGTAACACTGTGTATCTGTAAATTTTGTAATGAAACATTTAATAAGTATTTCTATGTCTTGAATTAGTAACCTAGATGAAATCTAAAGTGTTCTAGCCGTGGTAGCTTTGTTATTATAGAGAATTGCAAGGATCTATGTGTTTGAGATGCATTTATCTTAAAAATTGGTGCAATGCCCTTTCCCTGTGCCCCCAGGTCCTGGCATTGATGTGCCTGCCCCAGACATGAGCACAGGCGAGCGGGAGATGTCCTGGATTGCTGACACCTATGCTAGCACCATAGGGCACTATGTGAGTACCCACCAAAGCTCTGAGGGCTTCATTTGCTATCTACCAGAAATAACAGTTCAAATGATGATATGTATAAGGGGAGAATTCACTGGGTTTTTCTCCTCTCCTTTAATCATATCGTGATTTTATATATTACTTCTGTCTATCTTATATCATAAATGCAGTGAACTTGGATTGAGCTTTTACTCATATGCAACCCTGTCCTGACCACTGGGATGGGCCCTCAAAGATCACCTCCCAGGGCAGGATACACTACAAGACAGTTAAAGGGAAATAAGGAAGCATTCAGTTCGGGCTTTTCCCTCAAAGGAACTAAGACACATTAAGCAGATAAGGTATGGAGATAGTGTAATAGCAGGGTGCAGAGTTTCTAAAAGCAGGCTTCCTGGAAGAGGTATTTGGTCAGGGCTGGACATTGAAAATGGATAGAATTTAAACATGGAGATTTGGAGGATAGGAGGGGAAACTGTAGAGCTCAGATTGTCTGAAGATAAGGCACATTTAGAAAGGTAGTAAGAGAATGATGAAGTAAGTGGAAGAGTAGAAAAATACTCAAGTCCCAGTGTTTTTATTTTACTTGCTAGTCAGCGGGGGAGCCTTTGATGCTGACCCTTCCTTAGGGGAGAGGGGTCGGCAGCAGTGTTAGGCTGGAGCAAAGAGATGGCCTCCACAGTGTCAGTGTCTGTCTTCACAGCCGGGAGCGATAGGGCTGGGGAGAAGCATTGGCTCATGACAGAGGTAGACTCAGCAGGACTGGGTTGCATCTGTGGGACCAAAGAAAAGGACAGGATTGAGTCAGAAAGAACCAGGAGGACTTAGAGTCTGGGGACTGAGCAGAAGTAGTGCTATTAATACAGAACACAAGAAGAACAACTAACTTCGTCCTTGAAAGGGATGGAACCTTGAAAAACACTTAAGGAGTAGGAAGAGAAAGTGAGTTGAAAAGACATTTTGTTACCCAAAAACTGGGTTCATCTCTTGGTGGGTGTCGAGCCAAAAGACACAACCAAGCCAAAGATCGGTAGAAGGATTTATCACTTGCAGCAAGTAGGGAGAACACTGGGATCTCTCCCAAAGCAGTGTCTCCCTGAACAGCAAAATTGGGGAAGTTTTAAGTTAAGGGTACCTGCATATTCATGAAGGGACTTGGGTGGTTGGCATAGTCCAAGCTTTAGTTAAGTCACTAAGATCAGAAAAGGTCAACATCATCATCCCTTAGGTTCCAGTTGATCTGAAGGTTGAGCACTTCAGGCTTATCTTTACCATTGAAACAGAACTGGGAGTCTTTACAACTGATAAATTACCTTGGCTATTGTTACTTCTCTTGCTTGATAACATTCTTTTGTTCCCTTAAGATCATTAATAATTGAGACCTGTTCAAGTCCAAGCATTGTAGACAGACTTTGATAAAAAATGGCTTAGATCACAAAATGGCTTCTCATGTCAAGAAAGCCATGCCTGGTTCTCTTCCTCCAGGGACCCCCTACCCTAACTGCTCACAATTTATTTTAAAAATATAGAGAGAGCACTTACTACACAGGAGGCTTAAAGTACAGCAAGGAGTTCAATACAATTGGGGTAAAGGCTAGAAGGAAAAGTTTTTTGTTGGTGGTGGTGGTTTTTTTTTTTTTTTTCGGTACACGGGCCTCTCACTGTTGTGGCCTCTCCCATTGCGGAGCACAGGCTCAGCGGCCATGGCTCACGGGCCCAGCCGCTCCGTGGCATATGAGATCCTCCCGGACCGGGGCACGAACCCGTGTCCCCTGCATCGGCAGGCGGACTCTCAACCACTGCGCCACCAGGGAAGCCCAGGAAGGAAACGTTTTGATGCTATGAAGAGTACTGGGGACCTGACCACGTCTCTGGAGTAGGATCAGAAAAGCCTGCTTGAGATGTAACCTTCTGGTCTGCACTCTGAAAGATGAGTACACATCAACCAGGGGAAGTGGCACTGGCCAAGGGTTGGAAGCAGAAGGAAGCACCTGGGTAAAGGTCCTGATGTGAAAAGAGGTGAACCTGAGAGGCTGAGGGAACACTATGGTGGCCAGAGTAGAGAGGGCAGGAGAGAGGCCAGCAGAGGAGAGTTGGACCAGATTCCTACCTTGTAGGTGACAGCAAGGACTTTGTTCTTTGTCCTGAAAACAGAGGGAAGCCAGTGAAGTGCTAATTGTAAGCAGGTGTGTGACACAGTAAGCTTCACTCTGTGTGCAGCAGAGAATGGGATTGTTGGGGACAGGAGACTACACAGGAGTCCAAAAGAGATGATATTGGCCTGCCATAGAGTTGGAGAGGAATGGACAGATTGAAGAGTGATTGGGGGGTGGAGGGGAGGAACAATTAGTTAGAAAAGAATGAGAAGTGCCAAGAGCTTCGCGTTGTGGATGTCCTGAGGGGGTGGTTCTGAGAAGAAAGCAATTCAGCAACTAGATTGGAATAGTGAGGCTGGAGCCAGACTGCAAGGGCGTGTTGAGAGGGAAGTAGGGCATGAAGAGTAGCCCTCACTTAAGAAAAATGGCACTAGAGAGGAGACAGCTTGAAAGGTGCCTGTTGTCTAAGAGAAAGGTTTTTGCTGTTCTTGGCATGTTGATTGGTGTGGGCCACAGATTCATCTTTTAAGGGCCCTAGTGGAAAGATCAGCCTTAGAAGAGGAGGAATATTGTTTCCTCTGAAAGGAAGGAAGGGGGCATCTAATGGAGGAATTTAGGGTTGTCTCATTTCCTGGGGGGTGATGTAGTGTGTAGTTGGGAGCACACTCAGACACCCTGGATTCTGGGAGTGGCTCCTTCACATACCAGCTCTGAGACCTGGGGCAAGTGCCTTAAGCTCTCTGTGCCTCACTTTCCTTACATGTGAAATGACCATACTAATAGCACCTAGTTCATGAGACAGTCATGAGGATTAAGTGAATGATAGTATAATTATAACTGGCCCTCAGTAAGCATAAAAAATAAATATTTATAAACACTGAACCAGGTAAATTCCACAAATCCCCTGAAATAAAACAGGAGCAGTATGAGACACTTCAAAGAAGTTTGGTTTTGACTGCCATTTCCAAAATGTTGCTCTTCCATGTCACCTTCTTATGTTAAATGAGCTCTGGTTATGGTCTTTCATTCTTTTTTAAGCAAGGCATTAGACTGAACAGTACAAAACAGTGGGCAGTACATTGTTATTCGTAGCTCTCTCCCAAAGGTGACAAAAGAAAGTTTTGTGAGGCCCTGCCAACTAAACCTTGGACTAAACACTGGTAAAAGACTGTCCTCCTTAAAGTGATAGGAAATACAAAATCAGAGCCTAAGGTAAGAAGCCGCAGTCTTTGTTTCTTATTTTCAGACGTATACCTGAACACGCAGCTTCTTTTGCCTAGCCTCGCCCAGAAGTGTGGGTGCTGGAGAGCAAGGAAGTTCTCCACCGGGGCCCAGGCTTCCAAAACAATTAGGTATGCTGGGCATCTCGCAGCCAGCCAGCCAACCGGCACCGTGCCTGACCTCTGACAGGATTGCTGTCAGCTCCAGCATTTGCATTTTCTCTGTTCGAGAGCATTTGGCACTTAACTTGGTTTGCAATTCTGTACTCATAAGCATTAACTATTCATGAAGGAAAACCGTGGGAAAACTACTAATTCCATAAATCACTTTACTAGACTGTTCTGTTGTTTTTACTTCTGTTCTTTTTGTTGGTAATGATACAGCTAATACAATTCTAAAAGTTCTTATTAAACAGTCACTTTTTAACTTACCCAGCTAGGACATACGTTGAGGGGTGGGGAATATGATATGAAGTACGGCACTTTATCTTGTTTCACGTCACATGGGCAGCAAGTTGCCTCAACAAATTTATTAAATAGTCCATACTTTAGCCACTGACTTAAAATGCTTCCTGTATGTAATACTCATTTTCTGTATACAGTAAGACTGTCTCTAGTTTCTCCTGTCCCACAGAAGACAACAGATTTGTCTATTATGCACTGTTCTGCTTGCTACAGTTTATAGTATATGCTAAACTGGTTGCTTCCAGTTTATCCCTTGGAAGGGAAGCCCTCCCAAGCCCCTTTCTTCCTTCTAATTATTCTTGTTTCTGAACCAGAATACATGCATACTGTCAATACAGAGAGTACAGGAAGGAGAAGACTTACTCTCCCACTCGGCTTCTTAGAGCTAACAGCTACTACAGGAGGTGCTCTACTGACACATGGGCATGGGCCTCTGTGTCTCACCCACGTGTACCCCTTTTTTTTAACTCCAGTAATACCATACTATATATACACAATTCTTTGTATATATACAATTGTATATATAGTATGGAATTAGAATTTCTGGATTAATGGCTTTTTATCTTGATAGGTATTCCAGTTGCCCTGCAAAGCTTAGTTATTTTTTCTTTCTTTTTTATTTCTTGAATACTTTTGTTAATCCACTCTTAGGTGAACTTGAGTTATCTTTTAAAGTTCTTTTTTAAAAGTGACACTTAATTGAATTTCTAGATTAGTTTGGCAGAAAAATATTTTTACAGTGTTGAGTCTTCCCATCCATGAACACTGTAGTGGCTCTTCCTATCTTAGGTTCTGTTCTGGTGACGTGCTCAAGTCTTATGATAACTTTTAAGACAATTCCAGGTGACATGTATACCCTTACTTAGTAGGGCTTAAGCACTTGGTGAAGGAATAATAGTTTTAAGCTGAACTCCCTCTACTTGTGTGATCCTGCTGTTTGTATTTCCTTGATGTTTAATTCCTAAAAACCCTGTTTCTCCCATCAGAAAATAGTCTACTTTATTACATATTTTCTAGGAACAGAAACTTGAAAAGGTGAGACTTACCCCTATTGATGAACGTATACCTTAAACACACACACACTCCTAATGAGCTTATTAGTTAAATGAGAATGTGTTTGCACTTTAATGCTTCTTTATGTTGGTCCTCATAGAAATTGATGTTGATATTTCATCTTTTATTTTTGCCCTTCTTTTGCAGGATATTAATGCCCATGCCTGTGTTACCGGTAAACCCATCAGTCAGGGTGGAATCCACGGACGGATCTCTGCTACTGGTCGGGGAGTTTTCCATGGGATTGAAAACTTCATCAATGAAGCTTCTTACATGAGTATTTTAGGAATGACACCAGGATTTGGAGATAAAACATTTGTTGTTCAGGTAAAAATGTTTGCTTTCTTAAAGAATAACTGATATACATATAATAATAATTTTTTTCAGTGTTTTAAGATTTGCATTTTTTAAAATTTTATTGGAGATTTGTAATGTGTTAATTTCTGCTGTACAGCAAAGTGATTCAGTTATAATATAGTTCCCTGTGCTATACAGTAGGACCTTGTTGTTTATCCATCTTATAATAGTTTGCATCTGCTAATCCCAAGCTTCCACAAACCAGTTGTTGCTCTCTCCTCTGAGCCTCTGAAGCTCCCTTTCTGATCTTCCCACCAGTGATGGGGCTTCCCAGAGTGTGGGAACCTTTCCTCTTTTATAGCTGCCTTCCAGGGGCACAGGTCCCATCCCAGTTGCTTTTTTTTTTTTTTTTCCATTTTGTCCTACCTGATTATATGGGGATCTTTCTTGTCCTTTCAGGTGTTTGAGGTCTAGTGTTCAGTAGGTATTCTGTGAGAACTGTTCCATTTGTAGATGTATTTTTGATGTATTTCTGGGAAGAGGTGAGTTGCACATCCTTGTACTCCTCGATTGGAGCCCCTAGATTTGCAGTTTTTAAAATTTGATTCTTTGGATCTCTTAAGTTTTAAAATGGACATATGCAGAGTAATACATCCTTTATTTTTTGAACCTTGGTAAGATTCATGGGACTAAACCAAGTATCTCTCAGAAACATGAAACTATCATCAACTTCTTTTGTTTGATATTTAAATTGCAATTGTATCCAGAAGGGGACATCTCTTAAACTATTATGTGTATACAGAGGGTTTACACAATGATCCAAATTTCAACTTTTGTGTGGTGATTGATTAGTTTACTTAGAGGAATCAAAATTAAGTTAAATCCTACTTTAAAATAAAACCCATACCCTTCGCAATTACTGACTTATCTTTTCACGACCATAGGACATCCGGTCATCAGGAACTGAGGTCCTAGATAGCATCATTGACATCACTGCCATTTCTTTATAGGCCAGCAAGGCTGCATGTCACTGAATGTCCTCAGGACTCATTATCACAGAGGACAAAGGGTTGGGTTCCACATTCCAAAGCAAATTTATTGTTGAAGAGAGACGTTGTTTCTTTTATCAGAAGGATTTTGAGAATTACTTCTAAACCAACAGAATTGTATTGGTCAGAATATGACATTTATCGTCTATGCTAGGACTTTGATTTTTGTTTCATGTACAACTGTACTTCACAGGGATTTGGTAATGTGGGCCTGCACTCTATGAGATATTTACATCGTTTTGGTGCTAAATGTGTTGGTGTTGGTGAATCTGATGGGAGCATATGGAATCCAGATGGTATTGACCCAAAGGAACTAGAAGACTTCAAATTGGTATGTTAGTGTAATATCTGAACAGTTTGACCACCTGAATGTTGTAAAGTTGAAATAAGTATTATTGAGATCTGTTTGCATTGCTTTTTTTTAAAATTAATTTTTATCGGAGTATAGTTGATTTGCAGTGTTGTGTTAGTTTCTGCTGTACAGCAAAGTGAATCGGTTATACATATATCCATTCTTTTTTAGATTCTATTCCTATACAGGTGATAACAGAGTATTGAGTAGAGTTAGTTCCCTGTGCTATATAGTAGGTCCTTATTAGTTATTTGTTTTATATAGAGTACTGTATATGTGTCAATCCCAAGCTCCCAATTTATCCCTCCCCACCTCCCCCCACCCCGGTAACCATAAGTTTGTTTTCTACATCTGTGACTCTATTTCTGTTTTGTAAATAGGTTCATTTGTACCATTTTTAGATTCCACATATACGCAATATCATGATGTTTGTCTTTCTCTGTCTGACTTCACTCAGTATGACAATCTCTAGGTCCATCCAGGTCTCTGCAAATGGCATTATTTCATCCTTTTTAGACTGCCATATTTTAGATTCCACATATACATGATATCATGATATTTGCCTTTCTCTTTTTGACTTATTTCACTTAGTATGATAATCTCTAGTTGCATCTATGTTGCTGCAAATGGCATCATTTCATTCTTTTTTATGGCTGAGTAATTAATATTCCATTGTATATACATACCACATCTTCTTTATCCATTCATCTGTCGATGGACGCTTAGGTTGCTTCCATGTCATGGCTATTGTGAATAGTGCTGCAGTGAACATTGGGATACACGTGGCTTTTCTAATTATGGTTTTCTCCAGATATATGTCCAGTAGTGGGATTGCTGGATCATATGGTAGCTCTATTTTTAGTTTTTTAAGGAACCTCCATAGTGTTCTCCATAGTGGCTGTACCAATTTACATTCCCACCAACGGTGCAAGAGGGTGCCCTCTTCTCCACACCCTCTCCAGCATTTATTGTCTGTAGATTTCTTGATGATGGCCATTCTGACCAGTGTGAGGTGATACCTCGTTGTAGTTTTGATTTGCATTTTTCTAATTATTAGTGATGTTGAGGGTCTTTTCATGTGGCTCTTGGCCATCTGTCTGTCTTCTTTGGAGAAATGTCTATTTGGATCTTCCACCCATTTTTGCATTGGGTTGTTTGTTTTTTTGATATTGAGCTGCATGAGCTGCTTGTATATTTTGGAGATTGATCCCTTGTTGGTCGCTTCATTTACAAGTATTTTCTCCCATTCTGTGGGTTGTCTTTTCATTTTGTTTGCTTATTTTTTTTAATGTAACTCAAAGACCTCCTACTAAATGAGTCTTCATATCATAGGCACTAAACATAAACATTTAAACTCTGTTGCAACCATTAATTCTGATTTTCAATCAATTATAGCAACATGGAACAATCCTGGGCTTCCCCAAAGCAAAGATCTATGAAGGGAGCATCTTGGAGGCTGACTGTGACATATTGATCCCTGCTGCCAGTGAGAAGCAGCTGACCAAGTCCAATGCACCCAGAGTCAAAGCCAAGGTGACACAGCATGATGGCTTCAACCTTACCAATGTGGAGTGACACTGAGAGTCATAGAAAAGCTCTAATGGGTTTCCTCTTTTTTTAAAAAAAGAAAACAGCTTTATTAGGATGTATTGGGTTGGCCAAAGTGTTCGTTCGGGTTCGCTACCATCTTATGGAAAAACCCAAATAAACTTTTTGGCCATACAAGTCCCCAAGCATACAATTTAAAGTGGGATTTTGCTTCTCTCCCACAGCCCCATCCCCCACACATCTCTTGAGCTCAGCTGGAGGGGATTTGACGGTGTTATTGGCATTTCTCTATGTTCGTGACTTTCTTGCAGATCATTGCTGAAGGTGCCAATGGACCGACAACTCCAGAAGCTGATAAGATTTTCCTAGAGAGGAACATCATGGTTATTCCAGTAAGTAATCTACATTTACCAGATTTTATATGTACTTGGAATCATAATTGTCTTTTGCAAAGAACTGGGGGGAGAGGAGGATTGTTAGTTTCCCAAGGCTTAGTGATGAATTCTTCATCTTTATTTTGTTTTAAATTTTTATTTATTTATTTATCTACATTTATTTATTTCTGGCTGCGTCGGGTCTTAGTTGTGGGATGAGGGATCTTTTGTTGCAGCGCACAGTGTCTTGGTTGTGGCTCGCAAGCTTCTCTCTAGTTGTGGCACGCAGGCTCTCTAGTTGAGGCGTTTGGGCTTAGTAGTTGTGGTGTGCGGGCTTAGTTGCCTCGCAGCATGTGGGATCTTAGTTCCCTGACTAGGGATCAAACCCACGTGCCCTGCATTGCAGGATAGCTTCTCTACCACTGGACCACCAGGGAAGTCCCTTTATTTTGCTTTTAAGAAAATAAAGTAGAAGTGTGGTTAATATAATAAGCCTGTCTTATACTGGACCTGAACATTTTCTTCCAACTTCAGGCTCTTTCTTGAGTATGTATTTAGACTTCTTAAATCCAGTTATATAAATGTATAATGTGCTAGAAGTACTACTATAACTTGCAAATGTCCCTTGCTGTCTTACTCAGAAAGCTAATATGAGTAATATGTGCTTAAGTTTTTCAGTGGTTAAGCGTGGGGTCTGTACCAAAAGGTCATTGGAAATTAGAAGTTAGTGTGGACTCGTGATGCATTTTGAAGAACTGCTTTTGCTGAAAGCACTTAAATTCAGGTTAACTGAAATAGACTGCCTTTATGTAGTGGGAGAGTGAACACTAATCTTCTGGCAAGACACCCTTGGACCATCCAAACCAGTGGTTAGTGGGCAGGCAATTTTGTCAGATTTTTTTAGGTGGAGAAGAGGCTCTAAAACCTCTGATCAAATGCTTGCTGATTAATAAACCAATAAATTATTTTTTTTCCAAAGGGAGAAAGCCTCAGATGTATTGGGAAGGGGGTTTGTTTAAGTATAAAATTTCTGATACTATCTAAGATGTATTTGGGAAGCTTGAAGCTTAATCTGCTTTGATATTAAAACTTTGATATTAAACCATGAGCTCACGTTCATTGTAAGCTTTTATTAAGACCATCATCTCCTCATTTTTTTGTGTACAGGATCTCTACTTGAATGCTGGAGGAGTGACAGTGTCTTACTTTGAGTGGCTGAAGAATCTAAATCATGTCAGCTATGGCCGTCTGACCTTCAAATATGAAAGGGATTCTAACTACCACTTGCTCAGTAAGTTCTGATTATCCTGTTCTGCAGAAGTAATCTTTTGGGCCATCTAAAAGGTTGGGGAAAGCCTGCATTTAATAAAAGGGCTAATTTCCTTTTTGTTTAGTCTCAGAACAGAAAACTATTCTGACTCATGAGTCTTAGACCAAAAATATACAATTTCTTTATAGGTATTCACTATATTAACTCTCTGGAATATATTTATATTCCAGTGTTTATTTTGCAAGTATGTTCTGGTTCCCAGAACCTAATCTGTAAGTTAATAGTATAAAGAGTATCATTTTAAACCAGGAGCTCCTGTTGATACTCATCCATTTCTATCTCAGGTTGCGTTTGGTAAAGCCCTATCTATTGTCAAGAATTTTTTGAGTCTTCTGATGAGAATACTGTTTTGTCTTTGACTAGAATAGGCTCCAGAGTTGACACTAGAATTTTCCTCAAGCTGAAATAAGACCAAGACCTCCAGCTGAGCTTTACTGAGCCCACTCTGAGAATCTGGGTGAAGTGTTCCATCGATTTCCATTCCTTTTTCCCTCAGCATTTTCTTTTTAAAAGAGCCAAGGAAAATCCCTGCTAATGGGTGTTATGGAAACAGAGCAGTGACCTAAATTCACATTTATATAGGAATTTGGCAAAGTGCTTTTTACTCCTTTTAACTGAGATTTAAGTGAGTAACCCTTTTAGGTTATTAGTGTTGAAGGTTTTATGTCATTAGTGTTTGGGGCTGTGGCTATAGTGTGGGACTACTTTTGTTTCTACTTCATTTTTTTTCTACTAGCAATATCGTATCTTCATCTCTTGGCTTTTTATAGTGTCTGTTCAAGAGAGTTTGGAAAGGAAATTTGGAAAGCATGGTGGAACTATTCCCATTGTACCCACAGCAGAGTTCCAAGACAGGATATCGGTGAGTGTGCTTGTGGCGGCATCACATACACTGCCTGCTCTCTTCTTTAGGTCAGGCCAGCTGTATTAAATGGGATTAAGGCGTGGTCATCAACATGACAGTTACATGACTTCCTCTTTCCTTACATTCTAAAAATTTAGTTTGAAATAACTCATGGTTCTGCTTTTGATACTTTTACAATACAGATGACTCAACAAGTGATTCTAACATAATGGTGAAGAGTTATTGTGTATTTTAACTATTTTAAGCTTTAGAGAAATGGAAAGAATTGAAAAGTAAACATTAGATTGACCTATATAAAAAATTGAAATTACTATATGGACACAAATAAGAGTCAAAGAAAATAGATGAGAAAAACGATTTGTTGTTAATTAGCTATTGACAGGATATATTAATACACATCACAAAGAGAATTTCTTTACCAGTAAGTAGCAGGCGACATGAAAAAAATCAGAGGTAGAAAAAGATGTTTAACCTCGTTGTTAAAGAAATATAAATTAAAATAAGGATTCTTTAATGTATTAAACTAGCATAAACAATTAATGGATTTATACTCACCATGTCTGTTGTGAAGCAGTTGTACCTTTATTCTGATGACAATGCAAAAGACTTATTAAAGAGTTCCTGCCCTTTGACACTTATAATAACATCACCTCTGGGAGTTAATCCTAAGAAAACAATTTTAAAGGAGAGGAATGATTCCATGCACGATGTCATTGGAACTGTGTTTGCAGTCATTTTTAAAATTATCCAGTGTGCGTGTGTGTTCGTGTGTGGGGCAGGGAAATGGCTAAGTGATAATATGTCTTCTTATGAAATATTCAGTCATGGGAAATAATTTAAGACTATATTGCAAAATGGGGAAATGTTAAGGGTTTTGTTTTGAAGGAGAAAAGATGCTTTTGCCACTCCGGGTAACTCTCCTCAAAGAACCTTCCTCTTTCCCAGAACCATGTGTCTCAGTTCTGGTCCCTCCTTCTGGAACACCCAGGCCCACTCCCTGCTTGAGTAGCACATCTCAGTGGCTTTTCCTGAAAGTCCTCTCTGACTGCCAGCATTTCATCCATCCTTCCATCACAAGTCACTTAGTGCGTTTATAGGCCCTGCTGTTGCTGCGGCTTTAAGATGGGATTCTTGCTCCTCCCTGTGGTCGCCCCATGTCACAACACACGCCTGCCACATAGTCAATCAGACTGAAACGTGGAGAGGGAGTGAAGAGGACAGCCAGTTGGTTAGGAAGACAGATCCATGATGCCTTTCATTTTTATCCTTTTTTAAAATAATCTTTGCCCAATGTATCAGTCTTCCAGTTTTCAAATGCTTTCGGTGCTTCTAATTTTAGACTTTAATGCTATTTCTCATCTCTTAGTGACTTACTTATTGCAGGAGTCTTGTAATAAGTGTCAGTTGAAAACCCAGTGTTTTCCCCCAGCTCCTTGCTTTTACTTTCCCCCTCCCCAGCCATGCCGTGGCCCTTCCAGGACCTACATCATTGACCTCATCATCTTTTCACTGTCCTTCATCACACCTGTCTGCACTTAAATTCCATTGACCATCATTACAGTAACTCTGTGGCCTTGTTTTGCTTCATCACACTCCCTTGTTAACACCTGAACCCTGATGAAATCCAGCTCTCTGCCCCCGCCATTCCTCCGCTATAGCAGGAGGCCCTGCTGACTCTTCAAACTTAAAGTAGGCTCTCAGCTGCCCAGCAGTTAAACTACTTTTCCCTGTTCCATTCATTCTCTTGGTTAATTATATCATATTTTCTCCTTTTTTCTCTCCCTGCACTCCAGTTCATGACCTGGTATCTATTCACAGAAAAGTGAAGCAGTCAGGGAACTTCCACATCTACCCAGGGCATCATCAGTTTTCCCTCTATTCAGTCATTTCTATCAATGTAACAAATGCTGCCTTAAAAAATATAAATCTTAATCCCACTTGCCCTTCCAGGTCTTGCTATTTTTATTTCTCGTACAGCAAACCTCCTTAAGAGTTGTGTATACTCTGTCCCCAGTTCTTCTATACTCAAACCTCCTATTCTGCCCACCACTTCACCAAAACTGTTCTTGTCAAGGTAACCAGTGGTGGCAGCATCGCCAAACCTAGCGGTCATTTTTCAGTCCTCATCTTACTTCACTGGGCACAGGTGATCACTCCCGCTGGAAATATTTCTTAGCTTCCAGGACACCACATCCTCCTGGGTTTCCTCCTGCTTCACTCGCCAGTCCTTCTGCTGATCCTTGTCATCCCTGTACCCTGTTAACATTGGAAGTCCTCAGTCCCTGAACCACTTCTCAGTCTGAATTCAAAATTTTGGTGATCTCACTCAGCCTCATGGTTTTTTATATGCTGTCTCCTCTAACTAGAATATAAACTCCAGGAGAACAGAGAATTTTCATTATTTTGTTTTCTGCTGTGTCCCCAGTACCTAGAAGAGTGCCTGGAACATAGTAGGTACTCAATAAATGTTTGGTGAATGAATGAGTGGGTGAAAGGAATAGCAGTATTCCACTTGTAAAGCAAGCTTTCCTGTTCCTAACTTGGTAGAACAAAACAAAACTTAACCCATATGTTTCTCTTTTTCTTTCTTTAAGGTTTTTTTTTAAAATTTAAGTTTAATTTTATTTATATTTTGGCTGTATTGTGTCTTAGTTGCAGCGAGTGGAGGCTACTCTTTGTTGCAGTGCGATGGCTTCTCTTACTGCGGAGCATGGGCTCTAGGTGCACAGGCTTCAGTAGTGGTGGCACATGGGCTCAGTAGTTGTGGCGCATGGGCTTAGTTGCTTCACGGCATGTAGGATCTTCCCAGACCAGGGCTCAAACCTGTGTCCCCTGCATTGGCAGGTGGTTTCTTAACCACTGCACCACCAGGGAAGTTCCATATGTTTCTCTTTTTTTTTAATTTATCTATTATTTACCTTTGGCTGCGTTGGGTCTTCATTGCTGCGCATACGCGCAGGCTTTCTCTAGTTGCAGCAAGCGGGAGCTACTCTTTGTTGTGGTATGCGGGCTTCTCATTGCGGTGGCTTCTCTTGTTGTGGATCACGGGCTTCGGTAGTTGCGGCACACGGGCTCAGTAGTTGTGGCTCGCAGGCTCTAGAGCACAGGCTCAGTTGTGGCGCATGGGCTTAGTTGCTCCGAGGCATGTGGGATCTTTCCAGATCAGGGCTTGAACCCATGTCCCTTGCATTGGCAGGCAGATTCTTAACCACTGCACCAACCAGGGAAGTCCCCCATATGTTTCTTAATTGATACAAGTGTTACAGAAATATACTTTCTTAGATGAAGTTCAGCATATATAAAAAGTGGCTCACCAACAACAAGTTTTTATTTGGCATATCAGGATGTGTTTGCTAGCTATATATATCATATTAAGAGTGGTGGTGATAGTTATTTGTTTTTTGGACTGCTTTAGAAAGCAGTCCAAAAAACAAATTAGAGGAACCCATTGAAACAAACTGACTTATAGAGATAATTGGCAAAGGAAAGAGAGGAGCTGATTTGGTGGTCAAAGATGCTGGGTTATATCCCAGCTCTAAAAGTAGCTACCTGGGGACTTCCCTGGTGGTCCAGTGGTAAAGAATCCACCTTCCACTGCAGGGAACATGGATTCGATCACTGGTTGGGGAACTAAGATCCCACATACCACAGGGCAACTAAGCCCGTGGGCCACAACTACTGAGATTGCACACCTCAACTAGAGATCCCATATGCTGCCAACTACAGAGCCCACGTGCCACAACTAAGACCAGACACAGCCAAAAATAAAATAAAATAAGTAAAATTAAATTTAAAAAAAAGCTACCCGTAACTTTGGCCAACTTCCCTGGTTGTCAGTTTCCTCATCAGAAGAATTAGGGTGGTTAATTATGAGCTGCTAAGATCCCTCCAGCTTTAAAGTTTGTGGCATTGCTGAATATACAGTCAGGATTCTACCCCACAGCTGCTATTGGAGGTAGCTGGATTCTTTTCGGTGCCCTGTGTGGTGGGTGTGCTGGGGAGCGGAGATGAATGTACCCTGACACCGACAGGGTAACATGTTGTTGCGGTCTGCATCTCAGATGGTTGGTTGACCGGTGCTGAGCCCACTACTTGGCCTATGTTTCTTGGTCCATACTTTCCTGTGGTGTTTTACCATGATATTAATTTCATGAGTATTTGTTTGCTGTCAAATATAGTGAAAACTAAATTATGGTTAAAACATGACTACTTAAATAGGTATCAAGATACTATACAGAAATTAAGTATATCTTTCCTGAAAGACAAAAAACAATTCTATCTGGCTGTATGTTGACTTAAGAATCCTTTATGCTCTTATAGGTGAAGCATGTCTTTATGGTTTTGTTAAACTATTCTTCTTCCTAACAGGGTGCCTCTGAGAAAGACATTGTGCACTCTGGTTTAGCTTACACCATGGAGCGCTCTGCAAGGGTATGTACACAGATGCTGTTTGCGTTTCTCGTAGTTACGTGAAGTACAGCTCAACGGTGTCATCTCAGCTGCCAGATTGTGTGTGCAGTGACAGAAAATAGCGATGTGTTTAAATGTTCCAAAACATGTGCTTTTTCAGTCTTAAATGATGGGCGTTGTTTTTAGGATCTTCCGTATGTTTTCCAGACTTTGGGAAATAATGCCAAGTTAGAAGGAATCATGTTTAGCTTAGTCAGCCAAACTGGGTTGCAGCCTAGTGCACCACTCTGTTGTAACTACAGGAAGCTACCTTACTACATAGAATTTGGTAGATGTGAAAGGCTTTTTGACCACTTGATCCTTATTTCAAAGCCTTAAGCACAGTTCGAGTCCAGTTTTCTTAATTTCTTTTTGAGTTCAGATTCTATCCACTTGGCATCAAGTTGAAATAGCAGAAGCAGATATTAATTTTAATTTTTGAGATAATTAGCATACCATATTCACCCTTTTAAAGTATATAATTTAGCAGCCTTCAAGTATGTTCACGAGGCTATGTAGCCATCACCACTCACTCCAGAACATTTTCATCACCCCATCCTTAGTTCATTTAATTACCACAGTGTATATCAGACTTGCTCCAGATTACAGGATGTCTAAAGGGCACAGAGATAACTCACATCTTAAATTCTAAGGAGCAACATCCTCCTGTCACCTAAACAGTAATTTGTATTAATTCCAGAGAATTAGTCCTTCCTGACTCGAGGTTGTTTCACTGCCTGAGTAGTTTCTCTTTGGCTACCCAAGTCCAGTCCTGAAGTGGTACTAGGGTAACTTGTACCAGGCTGTTATGTGCCTTGTGTGTTCATGGCCTGGCTACTTGAGTCAGGGTCACATCCCATCCACATCACATCTCCTTCATTTCAGCAAATCATGCGCACAGCCATGAAGTATAACCTGGGATTGGACCTGAGAACAGCTGCCTATGTCAACGCCATTGAGAAAGTCTTCAAGGTGTACAATGAAGCTGGTGTGACCTTCACATAGACCGGACCAGACTGCAGCTGACTTCTTCACTACCCTCTTCACCTCTTCATCTGCAGACCTATCACAAGTTTACATGTAACCACAGAAATCTCTCTCTCATGACTTAATAGATAATGGACACCATTCTCAACAAGTCAATCCAAATCAGCCCCTTGAGAAGAAATGGTAGGGGATCATAAATAAGCTAATAAGTGACAGTAGAAATGAGCTA